CTGATTCTACTCAGCATTGCATATAATGGCTAATGATGACAAGACTCTATGTAAACGAAGGGTCAATCGTACAAACAAAATATTCGTGGCATTTTTGGTTTTTTTTTTTGTTCACATAGAATTAACCTTTTGTATGAGAATAATACGACATATATTCAACTCAACTCAACTCTTCCCTTCTCAAAAATGATATGGATTAATTAAGTTCGAACTTCTATGTGACAGGATAACAAAGACAATATAGTCATCTATCACAATTAGTTTGTTGCTCATCTCTCTCACTAACAGAGACATTGATGAATTGTACAGATGTCTAGTTATCACAGGAAGAATAGAAATGTGTCGAAAAGTAAGAGCCTTCATTATCGCTATAGACATCGACAGACTCATTTATTATCTTATCTATTGAATATGAACTAGGGGAGGAACAAAATAATGAAGAAAAACTTTACCTAAAAAGTAATTTATTGTTGAATTCATAATTAAATTAAAATAATAATGGCTATCATTGTTTAATAAAATAAGAGTAATAGACTATCTGTTAACTAATCGTTGTATGTTAATCATTTTTTTTTAATATTAACTAGAAGAAATGATTGAGTGAATGAATGAATGAATGAATAAACGAAGAGAGAGAGAGAGAGAGAGCAAAAGAAAGATGATCATGACAAGCAGAAAAACTTGCTCGTTCTCTCTTTCTCATCTTTTCGCTTTCTTTCTCTCCCCCTCTCTCTCTCTCGTGTGCTTGATGCATTTGTGAAGAGAAAATAAACTTTTGGCTAATGGCATTACTCACTAGATTGAAGGCAAAAAAAAAGATTAATAAAAAACAACGATATTCACTTAAAGAAAAATATGATTGATTATGAACCTTGGCAGATGTGTTTTGCTTTTGTCATTTTTCTATCATTGAAGTCAATAAAGAAAACGAAAATTTTGACACATTTTTTTTCTTTATAGAAAAAAAAAGAAATAATCATTGAGGTACAACAAGAAAAAAAAGGAAGTTAATGGTTCAATAGTTTGCAATTATTATTATAGATTATAGAGCAATGAATATTGGTCGCTTTTTTAAATTTCTTTTATTCTATATATAATGATAACATGATGATTGACCTTTGAATTGCATGCATATATACACTTTTAAACCTTGTATCATGCGTGAAATTTGATCATTTAAGTTTTCTACTACCTCAGTTTAAATAAAGATTCGTCATTCTCAGTTACATCATTATATAGTTTCAACTCAATCCATAGTTCTTAATATGAATCAAGTGACTTTGTTACTTTATGACCAACAAGTAGTATACATACATATATATCAAGGATGAAAAAGATCAATCGTATCATGTGGGAAGTAGTGTCATTTGTTCTTATCGACCTTTTTTTTTCTAGGACATATAATAAATATAAAATTAGTTGCGCATTCGAGTTCTTTTTTGTTGACAATCAGAACGTTTGGTGCTGATGTTCCTTTTTTTTTTTGTTATTCTTGCTGAAATGCTGTAGCTGATGCCATCGAAGACAGTTTATTATGATGCGATGAGTGAAACAGCAAGCGTGCATGCATTCTTTTTGAGATGATATGCAACGAACATGCACATATACATATATATTTATTTATTTATACATACAACGAACAGTTTGTTGTTATTCAGAGCAACTAGTTACATGCATGTAGCATCAAATTATCTGTTTGACATACATTTATTTTAAACGATTTCTAAATAGAGGACTGGCCGGCGCATGACGCAGAGGAGGACGAAATATATTATTATTATTAGTAGTAGTAATAGTAGAACTTGAACGAGGACGGTCTAAATCAAGAAAGAAAAAAAAACAATAAGAAAAGAAACATTATTGATTTACTTGATGTCGATTCATTATTATTTGAATTTAATGGACGAGATTTCCTTTGTAAAGATGTGGCTTTTTTTAATGGACGAGCTTGAGTCTTTATTGTCGATTGAGCAGAACGATTAGGTACCGCTGTGACATGACGACGAATATTCTGTGGTCGTCTTAAATAAATAAAACAAAAAGAAAAAAGTTTTTAAAGAAAGTGATAATTAAACAAACCGATATTCTGATTGTTGTTGTAAATTATCATTTTTTACAGTTGAAGTTGGTAAAGGATCAATAATTGGTCGTTCTAAAGAAAAATCTTTTGCTATTTGTTGATTTGTCTAGAACAAAAAAAAAATTTGTTTTTCTTATGATTTAAGAATTTGAATAAAAACAAACTCTTATAGTTCGCATTTTTTGTGATTGTTCATGACGAATAATCATTGATATTTGACGAGTAGATGCATATCGTCCAAATATTGCATGAATTTCATCTAATATTGATTCAACCTAAATTAAATAAATTAATTCAATAATTTGTATAGATTTTTATTTGATCTACTTGTTTAATTAATTGATCAATTATATTAATATCATCTAGATCAAGTTTAGTTTTGGTTTCTAAACATTGTGTTTGAAAATCAACAGCAAATTTTCTTGTATCCTTTATTAAAAACAAATAATCAATAAATATTTTTGTTTAGAAAAATTTACATTTAATGTTTGAATTAATCTTTTAACATGTTCTGTACGAAATAATTGTCTTGTAAGATGTCCTTTGATAAAAGCTCCTAACTTTTTATAAAGGATATTTTGTGCTTCCTTCAAAACAAAAACAAATACAATGATGATTTGAATTTATTTTTCTTTTTTTATTTATTACTTGATGAGTAAATCGAAAGCATTTTTGTGAAACTGAAAATGTTGATCGTGCATCTTTAACACTATTAAAAAGATTTTCTTGTTGTTGTGGATCAAAACCTTGACTATTAAGATGAACATATTCTTGTTTTGCATTCATTAATTGTTTTTCATTATTATTATTATTATTATTATTACCATTATCATCAGATGATGAATTTTGGAGTGTGTAAGTATTTCGACGAGATTGATCTGTATAACGATGAATTTTTCTTGATGTCTCAGGAACGCCTGGAGATTTTATTAATGGATAAACAACATAAGTTGATGTTTTAAGTTCATCACTAGTTACAGATCGACCAATGCTTTTACTTGGATCAATCCATGTTGTACAATGTTCGAGATCATCTTGTTCATCATCGGAAGTATCTAATTCAATTGTATGAACATCTTTATTTATGGAATTCTTTAATTAAAAAGAAAAAGCAAATAAAAAAAAGAACATTCAATGATTTCAGAAGATGATTTATTTACTGTTGTTAATAATGGATCATCAAGTGTACGATAGAATGATGAGATGTCGGGTTTATTCGATAATGCTTGAAGAAGATCTTCCATTATTTCTTGGAACTAAAAAAAGAAATTTAAGAAGAACGAAAGGACCTTGCCAGATTTAGTGATCTGTCTTAAAACGGGGTACTAAATATACAGTTTTGTAGAGTAATTTGTGACACATCGAATAGTATATAAGAAATCAAGTTTTCTTCAAATTTTGATGTGCTATGAGTCCGTATACTGATTATAATCCTTGATAAATATACGTATATATATATGGTATTCATACATATTATGGTCTTTAAGATGTTCTAAGATGAGCTTATACAAATTTTATATTTAATATCAATTTGATACAGTTTTAGGTACCCTTTGATTTTCTATAATCAATAGTTTTCATTGTTGTTTTATTTCCAATTAAAAATGGTCCATACTGTTAGATTTAAGTTATTTCTTGACTATATGATATTCCAGTATGTTCAATTCTGTGCCACAGAACAAGAAACTATCTCAAAAATGGTACACTATCGAGCATTATATATTTTCACTCTTTAGTCCCGGGCGTGGTATATATACCACTTCGAATATTTCTCAAAATCTGGGGATAGTATAAATACCAAATCAATCAAAAATAAGTAGAAATAGCCTATAGAGTAGTTTTCCTTTGTTGACACAGAAAATTATCAGTATTTCGAAAGTGTCGGAAATATCTACACATACTACATTTAGTATTTTCCAACATTACATAACAGATATTCTCCTTGTGTTGTCATACATTTTTATTGAAGTTCTTCAAAATATGGCAATCAACAACGAATTTCTGTTGGAAGACTATCATCTGATTCACCACTACGTTTATCTGCTAGACATTTCCCCTTCATGTAGGAAAATAGGGTATTCTAGGAGACAATCTTGCAAGTTGACAATTAGTCCTTGCTGTTTTGAAAGATTTTATCTTTAAAATATATAGAGCTCGATAGTGTGCAATTTTTAAGATAGTTTTATTCTTGCTCGGTGGCACAGAGTTGAACATACTGGAATATCATATAGTCAAGAAATAACTTAAATCTAACAATAGGAACCAGTTTTAATTGGGAATAAAGCAACGATAAAAACTACTGATTATAGAAAATCAAAGGGTACCTATAACTGTATCAAATTGACATTAAAATACAAAATTTGCATAAGCTCATCTTAGAATATCTTAGAGACCATAACGTGTATAAGTACCATATATATATATATATTTATCAAGGATTATAATCAGTATATGGACTCATAGCACATCAAAATTTGAAAAAAACTTGATTTCTTATACACCATTTGAAGTGCCAAAAATTACTCTACAAACCCACATATATGGTATCCCGTTTCAAGATAGATCACCAAATTCAGCAAGGTTCTTTTATTTAAATTACACTCTTTGTTTTTCTTTCTTCTCGTATTCGTTTTCGTTCTTCGAGATGTCTTAAACGATATTTTTCTAATAACTATAAATAGAAAAAAAAACAAAGATTTTACAATAAGAAATCGATTAAATATGATTAACTAACTTCGCAATCATTATGTGATAATGATTTCCAATCAACATCACTAAATGGATCATTATCAAGAAGAGTATCAAGTCTTTCAATAAATTGTTCCATCTGAAAAAAAAAGAAAACTCTTTCATTCTTTTTTATTTTTCGTTACTAAGCAAAGAAATTCTTTTTTATCTATTATCTTTCATTTTTATCACTATGTTTCCTTTACGATCAGGACCTATACTTTTATTACCTGTCGTTCAACCTCATCTTCGATTTTTTTCTCCACAAATTCCATTGAATTCAAATGCTTTATTATCAACATCATCATCTTGTAAGAGATTATTTTTAATTATTTTTTTTTTTTATTGAAATTTTCGATTATAAGTACCAAAATCATTTCCTATTCCAATGGAAAGTCGAGGTATAGTTATGAAAAGGATAAAAACTTATTGAGAAAATATTTTTTTTCTCCCCTTTAGATGATTTCTTTTGTGTTGATCCAAAATCACTTAGTATTGAACAACTCAATAAATATAAAAACGAAATACTTCAATGTAAGAAAATTTTAAATGAAATATAAATTCATTTTTGTTTAATTAGTAATTGATATAGAAAAAAATAATTTTGAAAGAATTAAAAACGATTCAAATGCACGTATTAATGCTTGTATGATAGATTCTATGGAAGCTTTTTTTTTCTTTTGTTTAAAGTATTATATTTCTAGATAATCAAGGAATATTATTAGCAAAAGAAAGTAAGTGTATTTATAAATGTGATGTATCATTTAAGTACTATTTCGACTGTGAAAATGTACTTCGAAAATCTAACTATACTAGTTAATCTTCATGCAAAAACTAGTTTTGTATAAGTTTAGCGTCCTGTCGGATTTATTTCTGAGCATAGACCTGATATAATTTCAAATTTGGCAATTAATAGTATTCGAATGTTTCAGATTGACGGTACATTATCATTAAAAGAAAGAAACTAAGTATATAAACGAACTTAAGCTTTCTAAGATCGAAATTCATTTTTAAATGTAACAGTCATTATCAAAGAATATATGTATCACAGAAAATGAATTTCGAAACATTGATCTCCGTTATTTTTTCACAGTACGAGCCGAGTTATGACTGTTTTACTGAATTTTCGACCTATAATTTTATCCATGGATAGGTCTAATAATCCATAGAATATTCTGAAAGCTTCACCCGAAAAGAATGTTCCTTTGTCAAGAGGCTGAAGTTTCAAGTAAACTCAATTTTTGTGATATTTCTATGGCAAGCGACCATTTGTTGGAAATTCAATTTCCCAATAAATGAACTTTTTGTTTTCTGCTGAAACTTTTAGACTATTCTAAGGATCTTTAGGTCTATCTGTGGACTAAATTTCAGTTCCAAATTTCATTAGTTGATTTTTCAGTAAATATCTAAAAATGGGCGAAAAATTAGTAAAATGGTCATAACTCGGCTCCGCAGACCCATTGACACGAACTCTTTTAGAACTTTTCTAGTCTAATCGAAACCTTCTCGTGGGTCCAATATGAATTCAAACAACGGATTACAGTCTGGTTAGTTATCGCATGAATATAGCACACTTACGAGGGCACTTCTTCAAATATTCTCTTCCGATTTCCATGATTTTTTGCCTATAGATACTACAGTATTCTAATCAAAACCGTAAAAGAATTTGGTATCCTATTGAGATTTGATTAAGCTATCGAATTTGTCACGTATCTGTTTTCTAGAGGGTTCACATATTCGAAAAACTCATATTTTCGACTTTTGATTTGAAACTTTGCACATATAGAGAACTCAACTAGATTAATTTCCATGAAAAAAGGTCTATATCTTGAAAGTCTCATCTTTCGAAGAGATTTTGTTCAAAACATCTGATTTTTTTTATGGAAGCTGGTCTAGTTGGCTTCTCTATATACACAACGTTTGAAATAAAAATTCGAAAATACAAGCTTTCTGAAAATGTGAGACCTCTAGAAAATAGATATATTAAAAAATTCATTAGCTTAGTCAAATCTTAATAGGAACCTAAATACGTTTAGGATTTATATTATAACACTATGTAGTATCTATAGGCAAAGAGCAATTGGAATCAGAAGAGACATCTGAAGAGGTTTCGTCGTCAGTTAATCATGAATAAAAACTCCAAATTCTTTTTAGTATTGTGAAATTATTTCATAGATATTAATCTGATTAATATTCGAACACTGTTAGCATAATCACTGTAGGATTAAAATGTAAAATATGATAGATTCTTCGTTATTGTAAATCTTTCTTCTACTTGGCAAATTGTGAAAAAACGTTTTAATAGATCCAAGATGAGTGAAATTCAACTCTAAATATGCTGTCGTTTAGCTATAAAAACTAATTCTATCCATTCACAAAATATACCTAATACAACTTTTCTTCCTAATTTCAAGCCTACTGATGATGGTGAGTAGCACCAATCATAACTATTTTTAAAAATCTATTCATACCTTGAAGGACCTATCGGTTGTGTTGATCCGAAAACTTTAACAATCACTCAATTACAACTTTGTAAATATTTTTCATTTTTTTCTTTTTCGGTAAAAAATATCTTTGCCTTATTTAGATATCGAAGGAATCACTGAAGAAATAACTTATGAAAAAAAACTTACAGATGAATTTAAAAAAGAAGCTACATCACGTATTGAAGCATGTAAGTTATGTCATTCATTTCTTATTGTATCTCCTAATTTTCTCTTCAGATCAAAATGGTATTCAACGTGCGAATTACGGTTAAATAAAAACAATATTTTAGATCGTTAATTTTGTTTTTTTTTTGCATTTTTAGAATTAAGCATACGAAAAGGAAAATAACATGTTCAATTCATTAGAAAAATCGAAAAAAATATATGCAAAACTGATTAGAACCGCACGTCTCATAGAGACTGTTCAGAAAGTTTAGAAGAGAAAAAAACAAACATAACACACAGATATTTTATTTAAACGTTTCCTTCGATGCTACCATTATCACATATTCTTTCTTCGTCAAATGAAAGAAAAAGTGATTCACTATCATAAATCATTGAAGGATCCTAAAAGGAAAAAATTTTTATGTACAAAAATTTCTTTTATAAATAATAACGTTACCCATTCATCAAGATTTTCATTTCCAATTAAAAAATCAATTGATTCATCTAAAATTCCAAAATACAGATTAAAAACAATTTTATTTTAATCATTTCATACTTTTTCCTTCAGATTTACCACTATTCATATCCACATGAACTAAACAAAAATAAAATTTATGCAATCATTTTTTTTTTAAATGAATATACCTAAAGGTATTGTTGATTCATAATCATTTGTTGATTTCTAAATAATAAAAAAACATAATCATAATCATATTGAATGTCATGTAACCGGGTTGGGTACCCGTTCGACAATTAATGGAATCTCGACGTTTCGAGATATTTTTATTTTCTCGCATTGCTATTTATATAAAAGCATAAGAGTGAAAATCGATTCGAGTACTTAAAAAACAAGTTACAGGAATGAAAAGCGATTTTGTTTTACTACAAGAATTCGTTTTTTTAATGGAAATTCATCTGCATATGATGATAAGTTATATGATGAAGTAACTGAATACATGAAGGAGAAAATAAATTATCAGAAAAGGTGAACATTTATTATCATAATAACAAAGCATTTGTGTACATATATCCACAATTATGACGTTTGACACTAACACTACATTCTATTCTAACGTTATCAGCAACAAGCAAACATATGTTTAGCGAAATTGATCAGATTTTAAAAGAAGAAAGACATCAAGTGAATCTTGAATCACTTAGATTTCTTGTGGAACTTCAGATGATCTCTTTTTTTTTGTTGTTATTTATAAAAGAAACTGAATAGTATACTTTTTCATATAAAATACAAGTTTGAAAGCTGTACTATGACTGTGTAAATATTTGCCGAATGTCGATTAGCTCCGATTCGGTTGCAAAAAGTCGTATCCATATAGAATACTAATCATCTCCTTCCCCTTCCTCATGGAGTTTTTTTTTTATTATTCTTACTGGTAATTTCATCCGTTTTTTAATTGATGTTGAAACTTCATCTATATTTCCTTGTTTTAAAACATCAGATTGTACTGTTTTAGATAACATTATTGTTCGTGTTATATCTTTGGCATGTTGTAAATCAACTTTATGATAATTTCGAAGATGTCGATAAAGATTAACTGGACAAGGACGATCACATGGAATATTTTTAACAAATTTTGTTAATTTTTTTAAATGGCTTTCTAAAGTATTTGCATTTCCATCAGTTGAGCTAGTTGAATAGGGACATGTACATTTATAAGGAACAATATCAATTTCATCAGCAACTGTTGTATTCTTTGAATTTGAAGAATTAGTTGATATTGTTGAAGAAGTAGATTGATTATTGGTATTATTTTGAAATAAATCATTGATTACGGTTGATTCAGTACCAGTACGAATAGCTCGAATTAGACGAAGAGCAATTTCACCACTCATTTGATGATAATGTCTATAGACAAGTTCAAATTAATATTTGAATTTTTTGCTATACAATTTGTGAAATAAAATATTTGAATACAAAATTTTATGACAAAATAGCAGATAGCAATACTTAAAGAATGACTTTTCTTTTACGAATTATTAGACTTTATTGTTTTTCTTTTGGAACTGATGATTTTTCTGTATGAAAAAATTCGATAAGTCGTTCATTGAATCAGAAGCTATGTTTAAATCTATTAGTCAAAAAAAAAAAACAAAGAATAATATATTCATCATCTTCTTCTCAATTTTACAGTTTCAGTTGAAATCGACTGAGTTATCAACGGTTGGATAATGCGTGAACTTGTTTAAATGACTCTTCGATATCAATTCTATAAGTTTGTATTACTCATCGAACTCTTACTGATACTATTAATCACCTTTCATGTCAAATAAACCTTTATTATAATATAATGTACGTGATAAACTGCGTTCTTCAATTTAGGTGGTTTTTTTTACCTATCAACATTCGTTTAACTTTTCACTATTTTTACGCTGATAGGAAGTTATCATATGTTTGATATTCGTACAAAATGAGCTCTTCAAACAAAAAAAGCACAAACGAGTTCTACGATAATAATAAAAGCAACGCAAAAAAAATACTTCTGATCATAGAAAGATTATTTTATTCTATCGATGTTGTGATATATTTCTTCACCATAATCTTCTAGAACTGCAATAAGAAAGTAGTTTATATATTCTATCGAGAAGTTATTTATATACGGTATGTGATGAGCTGTTTCTAACATGTTTCTGACAAGCCGTTGCTAACAAGGGAACCACTTCAGGTGTAAAATTACTTTTCGACCGAAACTATATTCATTTGATAAGTAATAGAAAAGTCTATAACGGTTCGATTTTCCAGACCTTCGTTCTCGAAATTTTACTGTTTTTTTTTTCAACAAAAAACTGTGGTCCTTCTCAAGTCACGTGAGAGTTTCTACTTTAAACTTTGCACGAACAAAATTCTTAGTGAGATCAGTTGATTGTGCAACTAGTATTTCCTTTCTGAAGATGTAAATATATGAACAAAATTTACTTTTTACACATAAGAGAATATTGAATGTCTAAGGACAGGAGACACTAGAAAACTTACAATTTGTCCAGTGAACTAATCTCATTGAATACTTTGTTTATGCAAACCGTGAGCTCGAAAGTCAATTTTTCACCTGACCTGAGCTTTTTATTTAAAAAAATCATCAGTAAAATTTCAATATCTAGAGAAAGAAGGACTGGAAAACCCAAACTATTCTAAACTTTTCTCTTACTCATCAAATGAACATCGTTTTGGTTGACAAGTGATTTGACCTCTGAAGAGTTTCCCTCGTAAATGTCTGTTACATCTGTAGGAGAGGGCCCAAAGTTCTACTTCTACACGTCAACACTCCTAGTACATCATTTTTCATCAAAAAAAAAAGACTCGACATGTTCATGATTTGTCTGATATATCATTAATTAAAAGTAAGAATGAAAGATTTCCATTTTGAAATAAAATTTCAATAACATACTGAAGATGTGCAAATAGAAGAAATTTTTCATTTATTTTAGTACAAGGTATATTAAATAATGGTTGTTCATGAATAAATTCATTTTTTGTTAATGGACAATAATGCCGAAATCTTCGATCATCATTATAAATATTTCTAAAAGCCAAAAAAAAAAAAAGAATTTCTCTAATTGTTTATCAATTTTGTTTTTATAGATTTAACATACGGACTTGTATTTGATACAATATCATCTTTTTGAAATAAAATTATTTCTCGAATATCATTTTCAATTGAAGATTTTTGTTTACTTTCAATTGATGATGACATAAGTGCTTTAACAATTTTTTTAGCTGATTTTATATTTAAATTATGTGATACACGTAAATGTGATAATAATAAACATTGTTTTCTATGACGACAATCAAAATTTTTAATATTATGATTTAAATATGTTAAATTATAAACATTATTAAAACCATATGAAAATGGACATTGACCTTTATGCCAATGCACTGAATGTGAGTATAATTCTTGTGTACTATTAAATGTTAATATAGATTTTTTTTTACGATTTAAATTTAATGTATTCATACGATCGAGTACAATTTTATTTGCTAAATAAAATAATAGAATTAGAGATTATTTAATTACGCAAAAGAAAAGATTTCATACCAGCCGTATTTGATAGATTATGTTTATACATAAGATGTTTTTTAAGTGATATATGTTCTGTTTTATCAGAACAAGGAAAATTTGGCATATTAAAACTTAAATAAAATTAAAAATAAAAATTTTATTTTTCAGATTTTAATAATTTTATTTTTACTTTTTTTTAATGCCATATATTCCATTATGTGTTAATGGACAAATACCTTCGAAACTATGAATTACTTTTTCACTCATTAGAATATTTTGAATGAAATCAAAAAAATAATAATACAGTAATGTAAATGATCACACAAGTTGAAACATCAGTAGACCAATTGAAGTAAGAAGGTTTCTTACAAATTTTTGATTGGTAGAAAAAATAAAGCAATAGGATGATATTGATTTAAATAGCTCTTGAAATGAATAATTAAAATGGTATTGCACAGTATTTGTGACATATGGTGCAATAACCAACATTTTCAAATGTATAAAAAGACGATGAATTTCATTTTATTTTAAAACAATTTGTTTTTTGCTTGAGAATTTTTTAGAATAATAGACCCGTTTTATATTTCATCTGAGGATTCATTTTTTAGACATGTAATATGTGAATAATAGTGTCATAAGAGAAGATCTTTTTTAAATCAGTAAGTCAACTCAATTAGCATTATATGAAGGTCTGTCATGTGATGTTAACGCATCTATTCTTGAAATTGATAAGTATTTCATATTTGCTTGCTTCTCATTAGATCGACTACAATATTAAACCGTACGTATTGCTCTCGACAAAATATGTCTCAAAAATGTTTTTTAAGGACAACGATCATTATTATATTCTTTATAGGTCATATCGACTTCTACTAACAAATTGCGATCGAACAAAACACATACAGTGACTCTCAAAATTATTTGAACAGGTTTATTTTTAATTATTGTTGTAAACTCTAATAAGAATCCAAATATTAATTCGTATAGAGAATTTTATTTTAAACAAAGATTTTCGAAAATAAAAATGATTATTTATTTTTCAAGGATAAGGTCACTGAAAAATCGAAATCTCTGTTTTTCATCTCTTGGAA